CCCATTTGACTTAATTTTGCTGAAAATCTCATGAAATGTAGATTATTATATACCTCACCCAATACTGGGTGCCAAAATTCTAGCAGCTGACAATAAAAAGGTCTTATTTGAAGGCATATCAACCAATGACCAGAACAAACCTAAACGTTTGGCGCATATAACGTCTAGAGTATATAAAAGGGGTTGGGGTTAATTATACATTCGTTGCTGATTTCCCATTTGCTTTAAATGTGCTGAAAATCACATGATATGTAGATTATTATACCTCATCGAATAAGGGGTGGAAAATATCTAGCAGCCGACATTAACAAGGTCTTATTTGAGCGCATATTAACCAATGTCCAGAACAAACCTAAACGTTTGGCGCATACAGGGTGTATAACGTCTAGTAAATGGGTGGGGGTTAATACATTCGTTGCTGATTTCCCATTTGCTTTAAATGTGCTGAAACTCACATGAAATGTAGATTATTATATACCTCATCGAAAACAGGGTGCAAAAATTCTAGCAACCGACATTAAAAAGGTCTTATTTGAGCGCTTATTAACCAATGTCCAGAACAAACTTAAACTTTTGGTGCATATAACGTCCAGAGTATTAAGAAGTGGGTGGGGGTTAATACATTTGTTGCTAATTTCCCATTTGCTTTAAATGTGCTTAAACTTACATGAAATGTAGATTATTATATACCTTATCGAATACGGGGTGCAAAAATTCTAGCAGCCGACTTTAAAAAGGTCTTATTTGAGCGCATGTCAACCAATGTGGCAGAACAAACCTAAACGTACAGCGCATAAAATGTAGAGTATATCGGTGAAGGGGGTTTCGGGCTTTAATACAGTCCCCACTATTTTCCATTTGCTTAATTTTGCTGAAAATCACATGAAATGTAGATTATTATATACCTCACCCAATACGGGGTGCAAAAATTCTAGCAGCTGAAAATAAAAAGGTCTTATTTGAGCGCATATCAACCAGTGTCCAAAACAAACCTAAACCTTTGGCGCATATAACGTCTAGAGTATATAAAAGGGGATGGGGGTAATACATTCGTTGCTGATTTCCCATTTGCTTTAAATGTGCTGAAACTCACATTAAATGTAGATTATTATATACCTCACCCAATACGGGGTGCAAAATTTCTAGCAGCTGACAATAAAAAGGTCTTATTTGAAGGCATATCAACCATTGTCCAGAACAAATCTAAACGTTTGGCGCATATAACGTCTAGAGTATATAAAAGGGGTTGGGGTTAATTATACATTCGTTGCTGATTTCCCATTTGCTTTAAATGTGCTGAAACTCACATGAAATGTAGATTATTATATACTTCATCGAATACGGGGTGCAAAATATCTAGCAGCCGACATTAACAAGGTCTTATTTGAGCGCATATTAACCAATGTCCAGAACAAACCTAAACGTTTGGCGCATACAGGGTGTATAACGTCTAGTAAAGGGGTGGGGGTTAATACATTCGTTGCTGATTTCCCATTTGCTTTAAATGTGCTGAAACTCACATGAACTGTAGATTATTATATACCTCATCGAAAACGGGGTGCAAAAATTCTAGCAGCCGACATTAAAAAGGTCTTATTTGAGCGCTTATCAACCAATGTCCAGAACAAACTTAAACTTTTGGTGCATATAACGTCCAGAGTATTAAGAAGGGGGTGGAGGTTAATACATTTGTTGCTAATTTCCCATTTGCTTTAAATGTGCTTAAACTTACATGAAATGTAGATTATTATATACCTCATCGAATACGGGGTGCAAAAATTCTAGCAGCCGACTTTAAAAAGGTCTTATTTGAGCGCATATCAACCAATGTGGCAGAACAAACCTAAACGTATAGCGCATAAATACAGTCGCCACTATTTTCCATTTGCCTTAATTTTGCTGAAAATCACATGAAATGTAGATTATTATATACCTCACCCAATACGGGGTGCAAAAATTCTAGCAGCTGCCAATAAAAAGGTCTTATTTGAGCGCATATCAACCAATGTCCAGAACAAACCTAAACCTTTGGCGCATATAACGTCTAGAGTATATAAAAGGGGATGGGGGTTAATACATTCGTTGCTGATTTCCCATTTGCTTTAAATGTGCTGAAACTCACATGAAATGTAGATTATTATATACCTCATCGAAAACGGGGTGCAAAAATTCTAGCAGCTGACATTAAAACGGTCTTATTTGAGCGCATATCAACCAATGTCCAGAACAAACCTAAACGTATAGCGCAAAAAATGTCTAGAGTATTTAGAAGGGGTGGGGGTATATATATTCGTTGCTAATTTTCCATATGCTTTAAATGTGCTGAAACTCACATAAAATATAGATTATTATATACCTCATTGAATACGTGGTGCCAAAATTCTAGCAGCTTACATTAAAAAGGTCTTATTTAAGCGCATATCAACCAACGTCTAGAACAAACGTAAACGTTTGGCGCAATTAACGTCTAGAGTATAAAGAAGGGGGTGGGGTTAATAGAGAGAGAGAGAGAGAGAGAGAGAGAGACAAAGAAAAAAGAAGAACATGAAACTTAAATTTACGCTTACAGATGACATTTCCGATGAGTTGGCTCGACATGTGCTAAAGAAGTCTGCGGACGAAAGTACAACAATACGAAAACAACAGTTCCATAAAATTGTCTTTAACAGAGAAAGAGAGGTTATTTCTAAAATTAATTGAAAGGGGCTATGTGAATTTCAAGGAGGAAATTACAATTTATATTGCTTGTGACAACTATTTCCTAATTTAAAAAAAAAATTCAAGAACTTCATTGGGCTCCGCCCCCAAGAATCCTGGCAAAGGCTCTCCCCCTGTACCCCATCCAAAAAGACCGAAGTGGTTCCCAAGACAACTTTTTGTTGTATCAAATTGGAGAGAGTGTGAGTTTTATGTAGTTAAAGCTTTTAACAACCACTCCCGTGGACCTTTTATTATTTACAAAATTTCTTGCTGTCTGCTGCTTGAGATCACTGGAGTGAAGAAAGGTTAATATTAATAATATTAGGCATTTCTATAGCACTGTCTATCTAGAAATGCTATTCCGAGGCGCATGTATTATTACCCCGGCTTCAGCCTAGCTGCCATTACAATGTATAGCAAGAATCCCTATTTAGAGAAGGATAAATCCTTTTTATGCAGATGGATTCTTCTACCATTCTCGACCAGAATTGTGTTTCAAACTCAATGATGTGGGCATCATCCCATTGAATGTTGTGTCCAGTATTATAAAGGGCGTTTGTGCTACTTGCTGCTTTATCTGAGGGCTTTTTGTGCTCGTTAAAAAGAGCACACAATAGGGGCAGTGCAATTTGAATATCACGGGATGGAGTAGAGTTTATTTCTTAAAAGGGCTATTTGACTTACAAGAATGATAAAACCTCTAATGCATCCCATGAAAGTTGAAATTTAAAATGCACATCCCCATTGCGAGCTCCTTTCAAAGCGCACTAAAAACCCTCAGATTGAACATTCCATCTTATAAAATTGTCTTAAAGAGAGAAAGAGAGGTTATTTCTAAAATTACAACAGCCCTTTCATTTCAATTTTTAGAAACAACCTCTCTTTCTTTCTTAAAAAAAATTTCTCTCTTGAAAGTCGAATAAACTCAAGAGCAGCCTGGGCCCCCGACAGGGGCTATGCCAGCCCATCAAGCTCTGCCATTTTGTACGGATCCATTAGAAAACGTATATATAAACGTCATAGCAATTCATCCAAACACAAAATCCATGTAAGAGGATTTTGAAAGTTGTAAGAAATTTTCTTCTAATTCCAATACTATCCAATTCCAGCACTGACTGCTCTGTTTTTTAAAACATTGTAACAAGTCTCCTTGGGTCAGATATAAACCATAAACAAGCCTCATTTATCTTCAGTATTTCAAACTGAGAAATGCACCTGTTTAAATTATTTATTTAAAAGAGGGGAAGAAAAAAAAAGAAGGAAGAAAAGATAAAGCTATTTTTAGTAAATATTCTTAGATTAAAGGCCCACTGCACTACTTGAAGCTACTTGCGCCCTCTATATAACAAACAATGCCTAATCGGTGACCATTGGTCCCCCATGATCCTCTTCTTCTTATGTTAACTGAGAGCTGAGTTGATGAGATAACCACCTGTCCAGTGACCTTGCAGGGCAGTATAATCCCTCCTGTAAACTACGGCAGATAAGCTTTAAATACTAAAGTTTGATGGTTTAAAAATGGACATATAGCATAAATTTGGGACCAGATTTTAGTTTGATTTGATGATTTCATGTGATACATGTACATACCTAATATTAAAGAAAATCCTAACATATGAAACCACAATAGATTGCTTATTATTTCTTTTGTTCCTGTTGCCATTACTCGACCCTACCTCTTGGGCAATTCTCTCAAATGTATCTCATTCACCATTGTACATAATTTAAAAATGTGAAGTTTCATGATGTGATCATTGAGTGATTGAAGTTATAACAATAAGAACCAATAGGCAATAGGCATATTAGGAAATTTTCATTTTTGTAGTATAAAAAAGGTGAATACACTAAGTCAGGCCTGATAAAAACCTGATTCAAATCGGTTTCCTGATTTTTTATATTTTTTCCTGATTTTTTTTTTTGTTCTTCCCGATTTCCCCCTTTTTTTCTTTTTTCTTCCCTATTATTTCCCATTTTTTTTTTACTCAATAGGGGTAAATGTTGTTAGATGCCATTTTTTTTCCTCAAATCCTTTTTTTTCCTCAAATCCTTTTTTTTTTTTTTTTTTACTCAAGGGGAGCATGGTTGAGGGGAACCCCCCCCCCTTTTTTTTTAGTGCTCACCATCACCCCTGTACACTGTACATGTACATGTACATGTATGTCGTATAAGATCACCCTTTAAATCTTTCCAGCATATGACTTTCTTGGTTCCGATTCCACTTGTCCAGCTACATCAAGGTAGGGGAGATGACTTTACCTCTCTACATCTAATTTCCATTTCTTTTTGTTATTGTAGGGTGCCAAGAGGCTAATGAAGAATGAATTGAAGTATGTGCCTTTCTTTGGCTGGTCTTTCTACCTCACCGAGCAGCTTTTTGTCAACAGAGATTACACAAGGGACAAATCATCTCTTGTGAAACATTTTGAGAACATCACCACATTCCACTATCCTTGTGTGGTAAGTATGTCTGTCAGAATCCTGCACAACCAGACACTTATAATGCAACATGAAACTTTAATGAACTCTTAAAGCCCCACTGCACTAGTTTGGCCAGGAGGGATTAGACCTCCCTGCACGGTCACTGACAGGTGGTTATCTCATCAAATCAGCTTTCAACTAACATAAGAAAAAGAGGATTATGGGGGACAAATGGTCACTGATTAAGCATTGTTCGCTATATAGAGGGCGCCAGTACATGTATCTATAAGTAGTGCAGACAATTTTGTGTTGAGAAACTTCTGTTAACTGCCAAGTTTCATTGTTGTGTCAGTTGGAATATTTTGCGCCATAAAACTTTTGCGAATCGGAATCCCTGGTGAAATTCACGAAAAGTTCATGCACGTGAAAGTTCCTGGGTTTACAGTAATGTCTGTTACCAGCCAGAAGGGCATTAGTTCAGCTACTATTACATCATTATCATTTATTTAAGTCAGCACTTCCCTCACTATTTATATATTCATTCATACCAGTAAAAACCAAACTCCCAAATTGAAAAAAAAATCATTTCAATTTCAATATGGAGCATACATTTGCAGGTACTTGTGCATGTTGTTCAAATATCTAACTCAGTGTAATAAACGCATTTCTGTTCTTTAAATCTCTGTTTACATATATTCTATTGTTAGTATGAGATTCCCTTTTGTATTTTATAAAACAAAAGAAGGAAAATTTCAGTCAGAGAGAGAGCTCTTACTACCTAAACATTTAAATTTTCAGAAATATTTCACACAACTGAAATTGCTTTCCCTCTCTATTATTCAGTCCCTATCTCTAGATTTACTTTCAGCCATATCCCCCCAAATTTTGAATAGGACCTTTAAATCTAATTCTTTACAAAATCCATATGTTTACCAATGGTTGTGAACCTTGATAAATGTCTTACATCTTGCTCAGTGAGTTAAACCTACACTGTATGATACTACTTTCCAAACTAAGTAAATGTACATGTGAAAGTCATTCTCACAAATACATGTATTATCTTAATAAGGTGATATTGTGAAGGGGTTAAAGGTCATCTTGCTCAGTGAGTTTAACAATTGATACTACATTCCAAACTAAGTATGTGAAAGTCATTTTCACAAATACATGTATTATCTAAATGAGGTGATATTGTGAAGAGGTTAAAGGTCACCTTAATAAACTCCTTCCATCTTGCTCAGTGAGTTTAACCTTTGATACTACATTCCAAACTTAGTATGTGAAAGTCATTCTCACAAATACTTTACATCTGAATGAGGTGATATGGGCCACATGACTTGAAAGTTGTGCAAATAGATTAAGGAAATAGGATAACGCTTTATTATTTAGCATTGACCTGATATTAGATGAAAAAAATGCAATTGTAATGAAATAGGAAGCTTTACAAGGTTCTGGACAGAAGTTTTATTTATGACCCTATGGCTACTGCCTTTTAAGGTTGAATTGAGAAATCAATTACTTGGGCATGTCCACATGACACTAAATGGAAAGAAAGAAATAAAAGGGTTGTAAATTATGTCTCTGTAAAAGAACAGAAAAAAGATTAAAATAATTTGTTGGCTTAAATGTTAGAAACTCAATACATATTCATATATTTTTTTGCGATTTGAAACATGAGATATATGCCAAAATGTTACATATAATGTTTGTGAGCACTAATAATGATAATAATAGTATACATTTATAAAGCACAGAATCTATGCAGTTGTATATTGTACTGTGCTACAAGAGCTATTGATGTGCTTATATCTACAACCTAAAGTTAAATGAAAAGATGTGCTATTAGTTTTGATCTAAAAATACTTAATGATGGTGATTTTTAAAATTCTAACAGTAAGTTATTCCAAGTTGTTGGCTAACGCATGCAAATGCTGATGTATGACATTAATGCAATGATTATATTGTCTATTTGGAGTGAGAAGGGTGTAATAAATGTATAAATTATATATAAACATATTACTTGTCTGGCTTCAATATCAATACACAATATCATGGATTAAAGTAAGGCATCCATGTAGTTTGGAAATACTCCATGTCTTTGTCTCTAGTACTTGCAACAACTGTTAAAGTTCATCTTTTGTACAAACATAAAAGAAATTGCACTTTGATCTTCCTTAATCTCTTATTTTCTTCGCATCCCACTTCTGATACAGATAATCAAATTGTGGTTGAGATTTCCTTTTTTATCTGTAAATGAATAATTAAATGCTCTGAAGTTTGACCCTTTTTTGTCTAGATTATGTTAGGTCAATATTATTAGAACTCAAAAGTTTATGCTTACCGGTAAAGGCAATTTTAGTGAGTGAAGAGAGTAAATTAAAGTGTTAAGTACTGCAAAAAGTCACTGCCTGAACTCTGCCCGGGTGCTTACACTTTCAGACGAGGCATTTTATCTCGTCGTCTCTCTCTACCCAAACTCTTGAGTGATTTTCATGTTTGCTAGGCTGTTCGCCTTGCTGCACAGTTGCTTGTTTGCCACACGTGCATGTTTGCCCAAAACAATAGTCATCAAGTGACAGAAGGATTGCTTCCTGTAAAAATATTGCTTTTAATACAGAATTACTAAATTTCTGGTGTTGATTTGGTTCATGTCTACCCTTTTAAACACCAGGGGAGTGTTTCACAAACACTAAGATCAACTCAACTATGACAGGCCGTTCATGCCACTGGTTGCTCTTACCATTGGTCTCTCAATTAAGATCTTTAGATAATATTTTTTCCTTCAACAATGAACTATAACAAAATGTAAATGATTTGTGACCACGATTGGTACATTCCTTGAGAAACCAATGCCAGCAATTGATGAGAGAATATAGTGGCATGACGGCTTGCAATAATTAAGTTCAACTTAGGTCAAAGTCGATCTTAGTCTTTGTGAAACACTCCCCTGTATTGATTAATCTTAACCAGGAACGGTTAAATAATTTTGAAACATTTGGCATATCTATCCTATGATAACAAATTAATATGGCATACTGAGATTCTTGTGTGGAATATAAAGAGTTCACCTTTAAATCTGCTTGTGATATTGTTTTTATATATTTTCTTTACAAAAAGAGTGAAATCTCCTCTTTTTTATTTTTCAAAGAGTCAAACAGGAGTAACGAGAACCAAGCTTTACCCTTCTCTAAGTTGATCTTTTTTCATGAAGTCCAATGTCATAGTACAAGTCCTTTAGGTAAAGGAGCATTCAGTTACATTCAAACCTCCTTTTAAAAGTGACCACCTGTCTATAAAGACCACATTTTCTGTTTCCCTTGAATAGTGTTTCTCATTGGAATAAATACTATATCAAGAACTTGTACATAGACCACCTGCCTATGAAGACCACTTTTCTTGTGTCCCTTGAGCAGGATTTATATACAGGCTGTACTGTATTAGGATGCAAATCCGTCCTCTCTGACCTCGATGTCACTTTCCTATCAAGGCCTTGTATCAGGTGTTTCTGACATGTCTCTGTCTTCTTTGCTTAGACACTCATATTCTGCGAAGGAACTCGGTACACAGAGGAGAAGTACAAGAAGAGCCAGGCGTTTGCTAAAGAGAAGGGACTCCCAGGCTTAAAACATCACCTCATGCCGCGTACAAAAGGCTTCAATCTCTGTATGCAGACTTACAAAGGAAAAGGTGAGAAAAAGTAGTTGCTTGGTTGTTTAAGAGATAGTTGAGTTCTGTTTCTAGACTGTAATTGCCTTCAAAGTGCATGGTTATTGCTCTTATTCTTATCTATGACATTTATAGTGCCCTTTGAGGACCTAAAATTGCTATGAAGGTAATTTTAGACCCCAAAATGTGTGAAATTTAGCTAATACGATCATACCAATTCAGCTCCACTTTAAAAAAAATACATTGACCGTTAATTAATTAAGTAATTAATAATAACAATACATGGGCTGGCTGGTTGGGCTTAATATGACCAACACGAAAAAAGCCAACAAAAAGCCAACATCTGCCTTGGCCGGTATACAACTTAAAAGGCGCTGTATCCTTTTTTCAACGGCTTTTTCAAATCATCAAATAATTGTGGTGGTACGCAAATATTGGAAACCGTAATATTTATGGATATTTCAGCCATCTCTGAACCAATTTTGATCAAACAAAGATGATTTTGTCATTTAAATGTTCTTTCAAATTTGACACTCAGTTTTTCCTTATCTCACAAAAATTATTTTATGTAGCGCCCTCTGTAACAGAACTCAACTATCCCTTTAACACAGGATGCTAAGCTAGTTGACCAAGCTATGAATGATCAAGTCTCAGATTATTTGTCTGAATTGTTATCTTTTAAAGACCGTCAACACTACTGGGCCAGAAGGGATTAGACCACACAGTGAGGTCACTGACAGGTGGCTATCTCATTAACTCAGCTCTCAACTAACATAAGAAAAAGAGGATCATGGGGACCAACAGGCACTGATTGGGGAAGTTTTCTATATAGACGGAGCAAGTAGCTACAAGTAGGACAGTGGGGCTTTAAATTGCATCCATATTAACATAACTTACAAATTACACAGGACAAGCTGCTTCTAAAACTAACTTACACAATAACAAAAGTAGCTCTTGGATATTGTGCTTTCAAGACACCCTTCTTTTCTGTACTTCTTCCAGTTCCATATATTATAGATGCTACAATAGCTTATAAAGATGGTGCTGTGTCTACACTTTATGACCTGCTCTGTGGAAAGAAGTTCGAATACCACATATATATGAGGTAATTCCATTGTATCTTAACCCTGTATAGCCCGGGGGGGGGGCCTCTTCATTTTCCACGATAATTTTTTAACACAAAAGAATCTTACGCTGAAATTTTATGACTTTTTGAAACAAATTTTTCGAAAATCGGACCTACCGTTACAAAGTCACGTGACCATTTGTCTTTGCATGGTTTTTTTAAAGATAAAACATTGGTTATTTGGTCTTGTTTAGAGCTTAGGCGCCTGTTTTGGGGGTCAAAATAGTTGAATTATAGTTAGAAATAAATGAAATAGCAAAAACAATAAAATACTTACATGTAAGTTTAAATAAACAAAGAAATACATAAGAAATTATCAATAAAATAGTTAATATGAGCAATAACCTGGCTTTTCCAATTTGTTGTTGTTGTATTATTATTCCAAATGGTTTAAAGAATATGTGTAGTGAAAACGAATGTTTAAATATGAAGAATATATGATTTATGGATAAAGTCGATTCGACAACTAATGGTCGTTATTTTTCCACTTAAAGACATTTTCAAGCCCTTTCGTTCTGAGGGAAGTTCTAAATTAACAGTATCTTTCAAATGCCGTTGGAATTTAACCTTTTGATTTTTTGGCCTGCAAATGGGACATAGTACGTTTAAAATGTTATCTCCTAATGAAAAAAATACATAGCGATTTCAAATATTTTTTTCAAAATGGATGTTTATTTAAAAATATCTATTTAATTAATTTCTGCTACGGCATCCTTAGAGATGCCTTGCAGCACCTGGGATGAAAAAGGCTGATACATGTGAGAGATTCGTCCTTCAATATAAATGCTATTGACACACACGCACACCTTTTTCTCCTCTTGATTTCTGATTAATTCTATTTGTCTTCCTTCAGAGCATTACCCCTTGATGAGGTACCGACCGATACAGAAGAAGCAACTGCAGAGTATTGTCATGAACTCTATAGGAAAAAGGTAAGAACAATTGAGGCAAAAAGAACAGGACAAAAATGGACGTGACATTATAGTTCATGAAGAGGGAAAGACAAATTTCATCTTCTTTTGTGTTGAGGAACTTAATTGTTCAAATTTTGAGTTGATCAACATGGCATTGCATACATTGTTTCCATTTGTTTGGGGGGGGGGGGTTGGGTGAGGGTGGGAACATCTGGTATATCTATGTTGTTTTGACAGTTCATATCTTTGATAATATAGATCTCATATATTGCACCATAAGTCCGGCAGCTGCTTTAAACTAGCCATTTTCTATCAATACAAGCTTTTATGAATATTTTCCAATTTGAATAATTTGTTACCAGCTTGTCAGTCTCAATCCAGCCATGCATTTTTTTGTTTTAAATCTCCAAAGGACGAGACATTCCAGTACTTCCTAGACCACAACACCTTTGAGGGATACGATGCGGAGAGGGGGCATAGCTTCTTACCCCCTACACCCACTCCTAAGTATGTGATGTCCTTCTGGTTCTTGGTGTTGGGGGTTCCCCTCATATACTATGCCTTCGTCACGCTCCTGTCAGGCTCAACTCTTCTCATCCTTCTGGTGGTCGGCGCCCTCTATGCAGGTTAGTATTTAGGTTGTAGGGAGGCACGTCTGAGGCATGTCCCATTTGTTAATTGAATTATGTCATGCAATAGTGAACCTTAAAGGGATCCAGTAACTTTGTCTCAGATTCTGAAACAAAATCCTGGATTTAGCTCATGCTGCAATGATAATTATAAACCTTTAGGTCAGTCAGGAACCCCATGACTTTTATGTGCTACATAACCATCCTTTTCCAATCATTTCCACACAGTTTCTTTCACAATGCAATTACATGACCTGAGCCCCTTCTTACAAACAGATTAACAGCAGCTATGTACATAAGAGATAGGGGACTCCAAACTTGCAACCGACTCGGATCAATCGTAATTCTTATAAGACGGGGCCCATAACTCAACTTATCTTTAAACCTGATATCCTCCAATCTGCTGGACTGACAATCTCACAGGAGATAATTGAATGGTGGTGGTGGTTATTTTACCTGACTGCTAAGAAAGCATAAATGCTTCTAAATAAGCAACCAGACGGCCGACGGCTTTAGGTCCTCTCCGAGGGACCTGGTAATGAGGATTAATGCCTTACCAAAGGGCTCTAGCGTATCGCCTTGGTTTCGAACCCGGGTCACCGGATTACGAGACCACTGCTCTACCGACTGAGCTATCGCGCCTCCCCATGATGGGTAGATGGAGATGGTGTGGACAGTGTGGTTGGGAGAGTAGAAAGCCATTGAGTACTACAATGAGTTTCCTGGTGGGCAGCTCAAAACCCTGTAGCGGGTCTTGCAAAACTGTGGAAGCATTTGACCAAGATTAAAAAGTATTTGGCCTCACTTAAGTACAGGATGAAGCTAAGAAGGCTTAGAGAAAGGCCTTTATAAAGGAACAACCATCCCCACTGCATGGGATTAGAATGATATATTACAATGATGATGATGATGATTCTCCATCTCTCTCTCTATCTCTCTCTCTTTCCCTCTCTTCCCCATCCTCTCTTCCAACCCCCTCTCTCTCTTTCTCTCTCTCTCTCTGTCTCTGTCTCTCTCGCCCCCCTCTCTCTCTCTCTCTCTACTCTGTGATCTTTATCTGCTGCAGTGTTCACCTACACCAAGTCCATTATGAATGTCACGGTATCATCCAGAGGTTCTACTTATGGCAGCATCAAGAGCAATGGGAGTCAGGGGGTTAAGAATGGCTCAGTGGATACCAACAGTTCAGAGGTAACGGCAGGGGAGAAGAAGGAGGATTAACCCTTCATCTCCCACAAGAACAGAAATAAAATACACAGGACCAATGAGCAAAATAGAGCTATAATGGAAAACTTGAGAAGAGCTCTGGTAGAAAATAATGACATACATTACAATCATTGGGAGACAAATCCACAAAGAACTCTCATGAACAAAGAAGAATTTTTTAATCGGCCGAGTGACGAGAGCCAGAGGAAACCGATGTATTATAGAACACATGCAACGGCAACAATTGCTCTGTGCTCAATGTCCCACACCAATCAGATTCCTAACTTCTTTAAAATTTAAATGGGCTAAATCAGTAAAGCCAATGTCCCAACACATAAAATGACTAGCATGCCATTTTTTGAAAAATGAATGACTCGGTAGGGCCTTTTTTTGTGTAGACGATGTATGATAATACTAATGAACTGATAACAAATGTTGGATTGCCCTTTAGAGTTGCCTATTTCTATGTGTGTTACGCCACAATTCACTGACATGGGTTTGTTTGAATTACCATAGTATGTGTGTAGATGTCCCCCAGGCATGGGACACTCAAACTACTCTAGATTGCCTTCAAGTTTGGTGTTTAATAGGGAATTTTATAATGATGAGCTTTTACCTATGGTTTACTGTTTGGGTGCACTAACTGATACTAATTGAACCCAGTAGCTCAGGCTATGGTTCTATTGATTGTTTACTATAATCAAACTGTATTCAACAGGTTTATAAATATTATTTATTATTAAATATATTATCAAGGTCTTTCCATATTTTTCTGTTGTAATTAAGTGTGAAAATTAATAATAATGTATAGTACTTTTTTTAAAACTTAATGATCGAGTTTTGATCTTTGTACTAATCTTAAAAAATATGTTTGAAAATAATATTTATCCACTTGTAACAAAATGTTTTTAACCATTATTATGTCACCAAGTTTACACAATTTTATCAAGATTTATAGAGAGGGAGGCAAGTTTTGAATTCTTTTTTTTATTTGTTCATTTTGTGCAACATAATCCTATGCATACCCACTTATTGCTGTGTGTTGAGAAGCAGATGCAGAAGTGTGAAGCGTACGGCACTCACATCATTATTAACAAAACCAACAACAACAAAGAACATGCCACGGCTTATTGCATCATATTTATACAAGCCTATGATTGGATACAAAGAGTATGTACAATATAAATGCATTCCAATATTGTTCAGAATTGTGTATTGAATAAACATTTTTAGTATGATGTTAAGAAATACATGGTGAGATGTGACAGTGTAATACATGAAAGCCACCTTGCAATTTGGGCATCTTGAAGAAAAAGTAAACAGTAAGTAAAATGTGTATTTTATGAAATCAAATTTGTCTTTTAATGTGTCTGTTATGCAATAAGTAATGAATATTGAGTGTCATAGAATATAGAAGGAAAAAATACTGATGACGACCTAGAATGTTTAGCCATGTTTTGTATGGTCTGCAAATGTATTTGAATGTACTTGAAAGAAGTTTGATGTTCAGTGGGTGTTTTAAATGCATTTGTAGGGTGTGGCCATTTTAACAGAAGAAACAAGTGAGGAAATGAAAACTTTCCGCAAGCTTTAAACAAAGAACAAACAGCGATTCATTTATACCAGGGCCCTCTTGCATGTAACTTACCATTGATGGTAACTTTGCCATCAATGGCAACTACCATGGTAACAGGGCTCAACAGCCAATCAAAATCAAGGTTTCCATGTTAAAACATCAATGGTAAGTTTTTGTGCAACGGGGCCCAGCTGTCTAAACAGCTGATGTTTATTTATGTTTTCGGGTTGTCCGTCCATCTGTACGTCCCGTTGTCATGATTGCGTTATCTCAAGAACTGATTGATGGATTAACGCCAAACTTGGGTCATGTATGTATCTTGCAGGGTTAATGAACTTATCTGATTTTGGGGTCACGAGGTCAAAGGTCACAGTGCACATTTTGTATGCAAAAATAGCTTGTGATCGTGTTTTCTCAAGAACCGATTGATGTATTACCGCCAAACTCAGGACATATATGTATCTTGCAGAGCCAATGAACTGATTAGATTTTAGTGTCATGAGGTTAAAGATCAAAGGGATAACCCTTTGATCTGTATATGAAAAATAGCTTGTAATCACGAAATTCTGAGAACCTGTTAATAGATTACAATCAAACTTGAATTTTTAAAATTGCTTCTGTTTTGGTTTATAAAATCACTCTACGGGGGAGGCATCATTTTCGACTCCATGCAGTCGACGATCCAGTTAGTTTGTTTACAAAATTATTTTTTTAACAAGCTGACCTGCAATAACTTCTGTATATTGGACCTTAAAGATACTATGTCCCTTTTGCAGCCAACATCAAATTCTGTAGAACTTTGCAGGAATTATGAATATGTCATGTATGTCCTATCTGTGAAATTTAAACGTTAGCAGTATCATGATATTCAAATTATGCAAGGAAACTCGTTTACTGGCTAGACTTCACTGTCAGACACTATTGAGTAACTGACTGGCATTTTTCTTCTTTGGTAATAACATACATAACATGAGCTGTAAAGGGTACATGAGCATTTGTCTACATCAATAACCCACTTCTTGTAATGGCCAAAATTAAATTGATTGAATATTTGCGCAGCATAAAACGTACGACCATTCGGTACAATGGTTTGAAAATCAAGACTATTACTTACTGGCTCTATAGCTCTTAAGTCGATTTGACAACTAATAGTCATTGAAAGACATTTTCAAGCCCCCTTTTTTAGGGAAGTTATAAATTAGTATTATCTTTCAAATGCTGTTGGTATTTACCGGGTAACCTTTTAATTTTTTTGGCCTGCAAATGGGACATAGTACCTTTAAGTCCTCCCTGAAACTACATTTTAAAGATAAAGTTGTGTTCATGCCATGTGATGAGAAACTGTCTGGAAACAATGGTTGGTTATATAGTACACAATAATTGGTGTATACTGTGAGGTTTCAGAAATATATCAAAATGATAAAAAATAGACTCTGTCTTGCTGGAAGTCCTATGTACTGTTCACAGAACTAGGTATATAGGACTACACAGGCCTGTTAAATGAAATGTCGGTTCAAACATTCAGATTTTCTTGTCATATTTCAAGTACATATTAGGGCATTTGAGAATTGCAGTCCTTTTCAGGGGACATTTTTCCCATGATATTCCTCCAAACTGACAAAATAAATGAGTAAGCTCAAACTTTAATTCCATTTTCATTTTTACCAGTGCTCAACTTCTCTTTAAATGTCAATAATGTCATTGTACAAATAATTCATGTTTGCAAGTGCATTAGTAAATATGCACTGCACTCAAAGTCACAATCGGATAATGAATGAAACTTGTTGAGTTCATTAACCAGCTCACCGTGACTCACCCAAGTACAGTTCATATCATCAACGAAGGAGCTTCAAAACAGGAATTATTTGTTTTATAAAATGGGTCTGTAATATGCCTCTCAATGGACACATCAATTTCCTTGCCACACAAAACTACGTGTATTTCATTTTTTGTCTGAATTTTGTATTCGCCAGTGTTGCACATACTCACATCTTAGCCATGCATTGTCACTTTTAGCAGTGGGTTAGCACTTTTTAATGGGCTTTTTTTTGCACAATGGATGTGGTAGAAATCAATGATGCATGGTCATGGGTTGTCTTTTGACTAATTAGATTGTCTACTTTATAGAACCCATTTTTATAAAACAAAGCACAAACATACATACCCTGTGTTGTTGCCTATGCATATGAAGTTTGATCCTCATCCCCAAAATGAGGAATTCTTTTTTTTTAATGGTTAATTCTCACCAGCAAGGGTACATAGATACGGACAAGTGTAATAATCAAGTCTCAACTACATGTGAAAGGATGCTGTAAGGCCAGTTTACATAATTAGGACCAAGTTGGTAGTAGTTATAGTTGTAGTATGAGTATTATTAGTATTAGTATTAGTATTTAATATTTCTTTAATCTTAAATATGTTGAATCTTAATTTTAATTATTTGTATGCACCTTGAGCATCTCTAGAGATGGATATGTTGCGCTTTATAAATATTATTATTATTATTATTATTATTATTATTATTATTATCATTATTTGTTATTATTATTATTATAATTATCATCATCATCGTCAACATCACCAGTGTAGTGGCTAGAATATGTCTATACATAGGCAGGCATTTTTTGTTTAATAGCTAGGGAAATAGGAATTTGTTGAATATCAACTTCGGTCAAAGTTTATTGTATGCATGTTCTCTGGAGGTTTTCATGTGTTATTTTGGCCAAATTTTGGTAATATTCCTGGGAATTGTTTAAATCACTAGGTACTCATAATCATATATATCATTCTTGTGCAAGAAAATAGCATTTAATTCGTGGAATACATTCTGGATACTGTTGATTGGATTTGAACGTGATATTGGAAATGGGTTTTGCAACTATCCTTTCAGTGTGTGATTTGTATATTTGATGTCATTAGAAATCTTTTATGTAAATTTAAAAAAAGCCTTTCATTTAAGAATAAGGCGGTTAATAACAAATGGATTTATATAGTGCCTTTTCTAGAGGATACAAGATGCTGTCCCATAGTCTAAAGAGAAATTAAGAGGTATGATTTCAGATGTGTTTAGAAGAAGTCAAGGGAAGAAGCACTATTTCTCGGAAATGCAAAGAGTTTGTTCCACAGGCAGGCATGGGGCAATGGATTGAAAGGATATGAAACCAGGCCAGTCTGTTTTTAAGATTTGGGAATGAGGAAAGAAGGAGCTAGCTGATGTAGATCAAAGTGAATCACCTTTCAAGCATATAACACTTTGTATTCATTATGTTCTTGTAAAGTATTAGCGGATCATTGCTAAAGTGGATTGAAAGGATATGAAGCCAGTCTGTTTTTGAGATTTGGGAATGAGGAAAGAAGGAGCTAGCTGATGTAGATCAAAGTGAATCACCTTTCAAGCATATAACACTTTGTATTCATAATTTTCTTGTAAAGTATTAGCGGATCATTGCTAAAGTATGTTTACGTAGATTGATATCGTATTTGCCAAATTTATGAGATATAAAAAAAGAAAACTAGAGATGCTTTTAATCAGTTATAGTATACTGGAGGCACACACAAGTACATGTAGTTAATTCCACTCAACTGAATTGTATTGTATTAGTAATACTTTATTTTATTTTGTTACTTGTAAGCTATTGGACATGTTGAATAAGTTAGACAATACCACCTGTGCGCTTAGGAACGCCTGCAGTGTATAAAGCACCCTATAAATGTAATTATTATTATAATTATTATTCTTTGATATTGGAATTTTGATTGGAAATCATCTCTTTTCCCCCCAATTTTTTTTTTTGAAGTGCATTGCTCTATTCATCTTCAGTTTGCAAGGCCAGTATTTGTTTTTTCAACTTTAAACAGCACAAAATGTCATAATAAGGCTGTGCAGGAAAAGATATCAATGTACAACCAGAGTCATGGTCTATCAGTTCTGTTGGGATTGAGATTAAATTTATATATACATTTCTTTCAAATAGATAATGTACTCATAAATGCAAACTTGATACTTGTATGATGTTGCCTAGTGCTGATTCTCAGGAGATATTTTACCTGTACAATGTAGTATTCATTCATGTAGAAGTGTCATGGTATACTGGTTCATTCCCACGGGTTCAGGGCTCCAATCTCAGCGCACCCGCCCATAACATCCTTTGGCAAGACACTAATCCATATTTGCCACTCTCCGACCAAGTGTAAGGTACCCGGCAATAGCTGGGGTAATGATAATTCCACAGCTTGCATGAAAAGAAGTATTCATACTGATGTGGCTACCCTGTGTATGCATACAGTCCTATTGAAATACCTGATGTCACAAAGAATGAATAAAGTGATCTAGTTATTCTGGTTCCAAAAGCCAAAGTAGAAAGTCATTTTTTTTTCTTCATGAATTTACAAGGTAATTTGATCGTGCTTATGTCTCTGTAATGTACATCTTAAATCTTTTCTTAAAGAGAAGGTTGAGTTCTGGGAAGAGGTGAAAAATAATTTGTGAGCGTTATCATTGTTATTATGCAAGGGTGGGAGAACATCAGTTAAATCATGTTCTCTGAAAAGCATGGCTCTTCAAATGCCTTCATATTCTAAATATGGCATGTAACATTGTAAAAATTGAGACTTTTTTTGAGATTTTTACGCCACCTGTTCGTGTAGTCCCACATACATTCTTCTGTGTACAGTGCTTGTAACTTTACCAAGACTTGGCCAAATTTCTTATCATTTTGATGATGCCAGAACCTTGTAATACACACACATACTTATATGCCAGATGATCAACCTTTTCTGATCAATTCCACACCGTTTCTTTCACAATGCAATCGCATGACCAGAACTCAACTTTATCTTTAATCTTGTCAAATGTTTGATGATATATTTGTGATCAAGGAGGTACCATGATAGTGATTGATTTCTCAATGTGCATTTTGCTCATAATAAGCAAAGTTAATCTCTTCAGAATTTACTGAAATTCGATCCCAACTATTTAAAAAAAAATCGACATAAGGTAATTTCAGTGGCCTTGTAGGGCAAAGTTTGAAATGTGCATTACAAACATTAGGGAAACATTACACCTGAACAAAAGGAGAGGGGGATCCATCCAGTCATCATACCAGAAAATTACATTTATTGGTTATTGAAAGTTAAATTTGGATGACTTTAACATTTTTAAAATATTTGTTTTTATATTTGAAGTGGGTTATCTTTCTTTTTTTCATTTCAATTATGGTACAAAATCTGTTATGCTCCTAATTTCATCGACCTCCCTAACCTGATTCTGGCAAGTTGATGATTTTAAGATACAAACAGAGCAAGCTCTAGTGTTAATATATGTGAGCTTTTCATTTTCATGTTTGCTATATGGATGACTAATCTGATTGTATTCTTGATTACTATGATAAAGATTTGTTGAGACTAAGTTAGAAATGTTCATTGTGTGTTATTAGCTTGTCAGCATCTTTGTGTGAAGTACGCACACACACAAGCTTCTTAAAAACCAAGCTCTTTTTTCTTCAATTTTTGAATTGTTTAAACATGACTATAGGGCAGGCGCGTACGCAGGGGGGGAGGGGGTGGGGAATGTTTTTTATTGACTTTACCCCCCCCCCCTCCTAACTGAACAAAATATGGGTACTGTAGGCCAAATTTTCAAATTTCCGGGACAAAAAAAAAAAAAACGTGCTTCGCCCTGTTAATTCACCAGCTGGTTGAGTCGTTCCGAAATTTTTGGCGCAATTATCAAATTCTAACCCCCCCCCCCCCCCCCCTCGAAAAAAAATCCTGCATACGCTAATGCTATAGGGTATTGAAATAGAGGCATTGCAGCGATTTGTCCAGTGAAAATCTAAAAACTTGTAAATGGTTCAAAATGTTTAGGGAAAAAAATCATAGTTCAAAATTTCCTAATAGTGTGGTGGGAAAATATGTATTAGCAAAAATACAGTGTTTTTTTTTCAAATTTGAATTTTGCAACTGGTGCTGTTGTATTCACCAATTTGTTGTGTACAAAATAAGTCTTTTGATCTGATATTTTTGTTTACATACTTAAAAAAGATAAATTTTGAGACATGTTTTTGAGGGTTCTAGGACACCTACACCCTGGACATCTATCCCAAATCAGCTAGCCCCTAGGACAACACTACCCACTAGGGCAACCACCCTCAAGGACTAATACCCCCGGGACAACTACCCCCGGACAACTACTCCCAGACAACTACCCCCTAGGACAACTACCCCCTAGGACAACTCCAACCTGAACAACTACCACTAGGACAACTACTGGTACCCCCCAGACAACTACCCCTACAACAACTATCCTCTAGGACAACTACCCCCCAGACAACTATCCTAGGGGTAGTTGTCTGGGGTAGTTGAACTAGGGGAAGTTGTACTCGGGGGTAGTCGTCCTAGAGGGTGGTTGCCCTAGGGGGTAGTTGTACTAGGGGGTAGTTGACTTGGGGTGGTTATCCGGGGTTGGATGTCCAGGGGGTAGGTGTCCGAATACGGTTTTTGAGGGCTTGCAAATCCCGGATAGGGGCTTTGTATATGGACGAAAGGGGCAAATGTCTTTGCTAATGCAAATATATGAGCCCATACAGGGGAATGGGAGAAGGGGGAGCTGGTGAGAAGAGAGAGAGAGAGAGAGAGAGAGAGAGAGAAAAGGAGGGGGGCTACTATACAAGTGGTGCATGTGAATGAGTTCATAATGATCTATCTGCTCTCGAGTCTAGGCTGTATATGCATCTTTCATACAAAGTTGTCAGCAGATATAATGTTTAATGAAAGGAATGAGGGGCAGTCAGTATCATTGTCAGGTATCGGTACCTCAGATACTAAGTCTACACAGTTTTATTTTATTTTGTATTTTATATTTGTTTCAATTACTTCTTACAATGGCATTCACAGAACACACATCAAGTCATGCTTTTCACTGATACAAAGTAATGTATTGAACTTATTCTCAACCTATTTCAATGTAACAAGTGATTTGATATAACATGTTTATACATTACTTGATCCTCCCCTTCCATACTTCCATACCTAGGAGTGGTTCTGGAATAATAATTGGGGTGGGGAGTGGCCTGGGGTCCTGCATTCATTGCGACCTGTGAAGGGGGAAGGGGGGGGGGTAAGAGGACAATTTTTTTTTTGGTCTTGAAATTTGCAAATTTTACATTTTGCTCCGTTTGGGGGGGGGGAGGTCACCTTTTTTAGGTCAGCCATTGGTATATATTTTTTTTTAATTAAAAAAGAATTAAAAAAAATTACCAAAGGGGGGGGGATTCCTCCAAAGTACACACATAAAAAATACCAAAGGGGGGGGGGTAACCCCCCCCCCCCCTGCGTAGGCGCCTGGCCTCACATATGTTTCTATTCAGTGGGCTATTAATGTAGGCCTAGTTATCCATATGAGTCCCGTTGATTAAAGGCATGCATGAATTGCCATATTCTGGATCTCAGCTGCGGACAGGACTCGCCCGTAGATCTTGACCTCGTCAATCAAGCCGTGGAAGTACTCGACGGTCGTCCCAAAACCGGCTTGACCGATGGTGACGGGGTTGTTTCGGGTTGGGATGGGACCGTTGCAACACGCGGGATTGGTCGCTGTCTGCTGCTCTCCGTTGAGGTAATACCGCAGAGTGGAATCGTCATAAGTCATGACCACGTGATTCCAGGTATTCTGGGCACCAACCAGGTTTTGATAGTCCCACGGTCCGGTAGCAGTCTCGAATACGCTACCGCCCAGCATCTGACCGCTGTTCTCCCGACCCATCCTGATCTCCCAGCCCCCATTCGTGCCATAACCATTGTTGACGATGCCCTGATAGTTCCCCCACTGACCGGTGCGCTTGAACCACACGCTGACGCTGAATTCGTCTCCCCATGCGAAGTTAGCAAGGGACTGGACATCAATTTTCGACGCTCCGTCGAACGACGCGGCCTGACCGCATTTTCCATTGGCGTAAGTAACCGCGCCGGTCGAGGTCCCGTCGCGATTGTTACCGGAGCTATCAGCCGCATCTCCCTCAAATGGAAAGTATGCTACAGCGAAAAAGGGAAATGTGGAGATAAAACATTATATCAATAGATATATCACACTCTGTTTGAAAAAAAGTATTGATGTCTAGAGGCTGGCTTACGTTACCGCGCCATATCTGAGCAAGCCTGTACTCAGACATGGTGCTCAGACATGGCGGGGTAATTCGCCAAGGTTTTTTTTGTTTACAAAACTGGTATCTATGTTTTCTGATCAATATTTTTGGTCTGAATAATAATGATAATACATCATATTTATAACGCGCCTAATACTTTGTTTCTAGGCACAGTATATATTATTACCCTGGTCATCGGAATCGGGCTTACCCGAAATATTGCATCATGATGGGCGTACTTTCAGAGTAGGTTCGAGAAAATGGGTCATTCATAAATTATGATACTTTGAGTGTCATTGCCATTTTAAAATTTTGTTTGTAATGGCTTTATTTCAGTAAGTGGATATTTTTTAAGTTGATATTAAAATAATACCTTAATTTAAGTGGGCCTACACGGAATTACACTTCCTAACATGTACTTTTCTGATGCATATACCGACATGACAGGCATATAACTGCATTTATTTGCCGTAATCATAAGGACATCGTGATAAGCAGAATCGCCAAATATTATCAATTTAGCTCCCTAGTGATTTGATTGTCGTAGTCTTTTGACTTGAGACAGTTTTATCTTGTTTATATACGGGTGTGAAATAATGAAGACCTATTGTGAAATTATATTTCATTACCTCATAAGAGGAATTACCATTACAAATGTAACTAACTTTGTTTGAATAAGTAATATGTGCCTCAAAAAATCATTGAAGATGGTAAAATAAATGAAATATAGATTTTGCCTCTTTGGAAACGTGTCATCTGCTGCGACTGACTGCTTTGAAGATGCTAACCTCTGAAGACTTGTACGAGTTTTATGTAATGGAATTCTTAAATTTTACAAATAAAAATGAAGTATGATTATAATTCTATTTAATGATATGAAGTATCCCTATTGTGGTGGATGGTCTATTAGTTAGTTCGCTTTCCCTCCCCGTCACACAGGAGTCAGTAGAGCGTCCGCCTTACAACCGGGAGGTCGTGGGTTCGAACCCCGGCCGCGTCATACCAAAAGACGTTAAAAGATGGGAGTTGCTGCTACCTTGTTTGGCGTTCAACAATAAGGGGATAGAGCGACGTCGATCTGGCGCTGCTCAGTGGCTGCCGGGCTCACGATCAATTGGGCAAAAAGAATTTCCGTTACGGTTTAATAAAATTTGGAGTGGACTTAAAGATGAATATTATTATTATAATGTGTTGTATACATATACATATTATACGTGCTTTTTCCATCAATATTTTAGCAAACGGCCGTTTTGAGTACTCATACAAATATAATGTCCAAATGTACTTCGTGTATGTTTTACATACTGGAGGTCTACAATGATGCAATGAATGACCATTTGCGAGCGGTGAAAGAAAGAAAAGTGATTAGAAATTAATGCTGTTCTTTCACCCAGAAAAAATATTATATAGGAAATTATAAAAATTGTTTTCCCTTCTCCTTCTTTCATTACTTTTTCACTTCAAAAGATGAATACCATGCGAGACACCGGCCTTTTATAAAAGCTCGGTACCTCATTTGAATTTTAAATTACTTTGATTAAATTATGTGTTTGATTCCACTGCCTGAACACCTGGGATATGCTAACCTCTTCGACTTGTACTTCGTATTATTAAATATGATTATAATTATTCTTCATTTTTATTTGTATAATTTAGGAATTACACTAAATAAGGATTTAGAAAAACATACATAGATCACCTCTCTGCCCATAAATATGCGGTAACGATTGCAGATTTTTTATAATCGGGAGGGGGGGTAGATGCATATGATCTTTGTATACTCACCAATCAGGCAGCTGTGAGGGCAGTTACAGTGCGACATCACTGTCGACATCATCATGGAGCTCGTAGCTAGGAATACCATGACGATGTATATTGATGCGGAACTGCTTCGATTTTGAAAGAGAGAGGGGAGGGGAAGAGTGGGAGAGGCAAATAAATGAAGAGGATGAGCGAGGAGAGGGAGGAGGAAAAGAAGGAGGAGGAGGAGGAGGAGGAAAAGAAAGAGGAGGAGGAGGGGGAGGAGGATGGGGACGGAGAGAGGGAGGGAGAGGAGAAGTAGGAGGAGCAGGGGGAGGGGAGTTGGGGAGGAGAAGGGAGGAGAAGAAAAGGAGGTCGAGGATGAGGAGGGCGAGAAGTAGGGGAGGGGAGGAGGAGGTAAAGGAGAAGGAGGATGAAGAGGAGAAGGAGAGAGTTTTATGTTGCTATCATTTAATAAATAACATAAAGGATAGAAAAGTGAATCGAAAACGAATCAGCTAGATCTACTTGAACCCTTATCACAAAGAAACGTCATAGTACTGTTGTGAGCCACTTTTTTTTAACCCAACCCCCCCCCCCCCCCCGGCCCCCCCACTCAGAGGTCGGAATGACCGCATGCGTGTTGCCAAAATGTCCGGTAAAGGGGTACTTTTCGTGCGACAAAGTCCGGCCCGAGAATTGTTAAAAAAAGGGGTGTATTTGACTTTTCACCCGGAGATTTCTTTAAAAAGGGGGTGTTTTTCATTTTTTCTCTCATCTCTTTGGACTCCTGAGAAATAATTCCGAATTTAGGGGGGTACATTGAGCATTTTTCCTGATTTAGGGGGGTCTCCAAGGCAGGAAAAGCCCGCAAAAAGCCCGCGAAAGGGGGGTTCGGAAATGTTGGCAGTCCTCAGATAGGGGGTGCTTTCAAAAAGAGGGTACGAGCATATGCGTACCCTAAATAACACTGAGTGGGGGGGGGGGCCGGGCCAACCCCTCTTCATTGTTAAGGAACATTTTTCCCTGACATTTGTTTTAACTTTAGATATCTTGAACCCTTCTTAGATTTCAAGACCAAGTAATACTTTTTATTGTTAAACAAAAGTCAAATCCGCTCAATAAAATGGAGCGGTTTAAAATGCATGCTGCTCTAAAGAAAACACAAACACAAAACAAAATATTTTCTCACCTCATAGTTAAAGATTGTTCTGTCAAAGTTCTTGCAATTTAGCGACAACTTTCAGCCACGTCTGAAAAACTGGCTTATAGTTTAAGGTAGTGAGTAGGAATATGAAAATATACGAGATCCGGGACCATTGTTCATGAAGGTTTGGAGTATTCTCGAAGTTGGTCAGTGGCGTATACAGATTTTGGCCTCAATAGGGGCAAAACACAACAGCCTACGTGAATGCATATTTACTACTTCAACAATAAGACGATTGCCCACTCCCTCCCCCACCAAAAAAAAAGTGCTAGGCATCACTGCAACGTCCAGGTGAATAACAGGAACTTGGCGGATGTGCATTTCAAGGTATGACCTCAATGCCTATTCGTATGAACCGCGATAGAATGTATAAAGCATATTGAATTGACATGAAAATACTCGGCTTAAATTTACCTAGGTGGTTTAAAGTTTATCAAGTAAGCGTGCTGGTCATATTGTTTCATTTTAGAAGCAACCGACGAGAAGTCATTGGAAAAGATAGGTCATAGGAATTTAGTACTGTATAATTGCATATTATGACTTTTGCACTCATCAAAATGAGGTAGCAGGGTTTTTTTTTTGGGGGGGGGGGGGAAGGGGGCTCAAGCCATTTCTTTAAGCCCTTCCCCCCTGTTTTTTTTTCTTCTCGCGAGGAACATGATAAATGAATGTAAAAGCCCCTGAAAGCTCCCTCAACTCCTCCCTCAAACAATTATTCTTCAAGAACCGCCTCTGACTCAATCTTGCTGAAAATCATAGTGAAAAGTAGTACATAGGCCTAAATGGGGCCATCGTGTATATTGGGACTATATCACACCCTTTTCTTTTCCATATTTTTTACTAGAGATTTCATTCAAATTAAATCCTTACATAAACAAATCAATGTAAATAAGTACTTACAAATGCAAATCTTCATTTCGTTTTCATAACACAAATAAATTGTTAAAATGAAATCCCTGAATTGTTCTAATAATAATACACACTAATACACACACCACAACACACACGCGCACGCACACACAGTTTTTCTTTTTCCATAGTTTTTTTAATTAGAGTATTCAATCAAAATAAATCGTTACATAAAGAATCATTGTAAATAATTCCATACAAATACAAAACTTCATTCCGTTTTCTTAAAGGTAAAGACCAGTATTGGAAACGCCCCAATTTCAAAAAATGAAATGGAAGCTCTCATTACCAATCATGTGAAAGAATATGTTTTGACTAATACATGATGATAAAAAAATTGCCAGGAAACCGCCTACTAATTCATATATTTGGTAAATTTGTTTCTCTCATGGTCTGTGAGAGATATAGGGTAGTCCCATATACATCTTTCTGTGTATAGTGCTTGTAACTTTACGAAGAATGGGCCAAATTTCTTATTATTTTGATGATTCCAGAACCTTGCAGATGCTAGATGCTAGATGATCAACCTTTTCTGATCGATTCCACAACGTTTCTTTCACAATGCAATCGCATGACCATAACTAGTCGTTACCTTTAACACAAATACATTATTCACAAAACAATGAGCAAAGAAGGAGAATAATATAATGAAATCACTAAATTTTTCTAATAATGATAATAACATACTGGACTTAGTTATTACATGCACCATCATTCCTAAAAAAATAACATAATACACACACACGCACATACACAGGGTGATGTGTGGGGTGATAGGCCTAGGCATCTGAATCATAGACTTGAGTAAAACTAATGAAACAACTTGTAGAATAAAATTAAATGATCTCAATATTGTTGAAAAAACGCATGACTACTTGAAAATAGTTCAACATAATAGAATTCTCAGATCAGTATTTATTTATTTATTTATTTCTATTCTTTTGACAGGGTAGCCCAGACAGTAGTGGTCTTCCATGGGGCCCTGAATGAATATATTTACATCGTTTATAACATTTATACAGTATGGGTTTCATTATACTTTACGTGGATTCTGTGCGAGAATAAACATTAATGTTTTCTTTCTTTATTAGTGATTACAATAAGTTAATATTTATACAGCGCATAATAAGCCAGTTCAGACCCTATGTGCTTTACATGGTAATGCAGAATAATTGTATTCTAACAAATAAATATTACAAATATAGCCATGTTTATTGAAATGCATCAAACTAGGAGCATGCAAAATATACGAAAACGTGAGTAGATAAATTTAAGGCACATTGCATTATTTACATTTGATTAATATGGCCTTCATGATAACGCATAACCGCTTAAAAAATCGTCATGCATTCTTAATATGAATTTATATTACAGTACATGAATGACGATGTAATAATTCATCACTTATAAATTCAACATTTTCAAGATAATGGATTCATTTAAATGAGAACATATCAATGTAAACAAAATAATCAGTTTCAGTAAACAATATTTGACGTTTAACAAGTTACCGCTCACAATGAACGGAATAATTGATATTGATAGATCATGTCTGAAATGAATCAATGCAACTTCTTATACTAATACGCCACAGCATTAACATCTTCAACGAGACAGTATCTACACCAGCAACTATTACTGCTACTATTCAGAAGAAAAATCGTCATCACCACCACTCCTACACGTCACATGGAGGCCCCGCGGAATGTTTTTCAAAGTGGAATATTAACGATCAGGTAGAGCGTAAATTTGCGTGGGGTCAAGGAGCTGAGCCCCCGGAAGCTCAGGGTTTTTAGGCATTAAATTAAGGTCAGATAAGCATAGTTAAATACCTTATTTGTGACACTGGCAGGTCACTAATTGGCGGAGAGTCCAGGGAGTAGAGCCCCCCGGAAGCTCAGGGGTTTAAGGTATTTAATTACGGTTAGATTAGCATCCAGGGGCCGCCTTAGGGCCCTTGGTGGGGTCCAGGTGGCAGAGCACCTGGAAGCTCAGGGGTTTTAGGTATTTAATAACGGTCAGATGAGCTTCCAGGGGGCCGCCTTAGGGTCCTTGATGGGGTCAAGGGGGCAGAGCCACCGGAAGCTCTGTGGTTTTAGGCATTTAATTACGGTCAGATGAGCATATTTTGATACCTCATTTGTGACATTGGCAGGTCATTTATTTTTTCTCTCTCTCTTTCTTTCTTTCTTTTTCTCTGTAACATACTTTTTCAAAAAGTGAGGGGGGCTCGAGCCCCCGAGCCCAGCCGCTCTGCATACCCTGACATAAAGGCATCTAAATAAGCATATTTTTCGCCCGACTGTAAATTAGGGAATTTCTAATTTTCCAACAAACGCATAAAAAGTTATGACTTAAAAATAAATTGAGAAAAAATACCGGAAAATCATGTCATTTCAACAACATTTCTAAATCACTGGTTTCGAATAAGAAATACCCCCATCAGTACGCCGGCGTTCAGGGGCTCACGTCTTCTCACCCCTATAACAAAAAAAAAACAGACACGCTTTCCCATTCTCACAATATGTCCACGATATGCGCGTATCGCTATTATAAAAACCTCCATTTAATATAGGTGGCATGCGCAATGTTTTTCCTTTTCTTTGAATGGAATTTGATATGTGATTAAATTCAGGTTTTTATTATTGTTATATTCTTTTGGGTTAAAAATACAAACCATCTTTACTCCTTTACTGCTTTTTTTGCCACCCCCCCCCCCCCCCCACTTCCGGCGCCTATGACTACTACTACTACTGAAAACTATACTACTAGTAATAAATTGTGATTTGTGCGGAAATGTCTCAATGCACTTTACCATATTTACAGAAAGTGCAGAAATACATTCCGGATACTAAGCTTGATGCTTAGTGAATCAATGTAATAATGTTCTTCCATCGAACTTAATAGTGTTCAACCACTAGTTGAACTTGTAGAAAAAAAAAACATATGTTACGATATTTGACATTCCTATACATTTATAATTATTTAGTAATTAATAACCTGCGTTGCAAAGACACTCCTTT